CGCCATCTTGGGTAATGGATCTACATATGTTTGGGTCCTGGGACTTGCAGCGCTCGTGAGCAGTGTTACGAATTTCCACGGGAAATTTCACAGCCTTAACTGTTTTTAAGTGTTGGCAACTGATCGTAACTGTTTTTCAGCACTCTATAAGCTGCCGGCCCTGGAAAGCTGGGTTTAGTACAAAGGGAGGGGACACTCACCTTTGCCATTTGCCCACCAGCACTACTTGCTTACCTCCTTCTTTCCGACATTTCCTCTATGTTTTGTTCTTGTCTTCTTTTTTTCTGTTTTTGAGACAGGGTCTGGCTGTATAGCTCAAACTTGCAACCTGAGATCCTCCTATCTCAGCCTCGAGAGTGCTGCGAGTGTAGGCGTGAATTACCATGCCTGGGCCTCCTGACATTCCCCGCATAGGCAGGGAGAGGCTTGTCACCGGCACCGGACCAGCTGAGAGCTGTGCCTCAGCAGGTGTCCTGTCACCCAGTGGTGGCCCTGCCCCGGCCGGGGAGAGTCTGGGCAAGTCTCTTTCCCCGCCGACTCCGCTTCCTCCTCTACAGCGTGGGGCAGGAGCTTCCTCACAGGACTAAGTACATCGACTGGGGCCCGGAGCAGAGGCGCAGTGGTCACGTGCTGCCTCTGAAACCACAGGAACAGAGAGCCATGGAGGCCGGCCAGACCATTCATTTATTATCTTATTTGTTTGTTTATTTTTGTGGTCCTGGGGATTGGATGGAGGGCCTCGTGGATCGCTTTATCCAACCCTGAAATCGCCCTGCAGGGCAGGCGTAAAGGTTACAGGCCTGGGGCACAAGCCAGGCAGCACTGCTAGAATCTGCCACTTCTTAGCTGTGTGACCTTGTGGGGTGGGGAGTGCTCAGACTGGGGAGAATAATGTCCTCTTTTAGGGCAGAGGAGAGGATTTGATGAATTAAAACATAAAACACTAAGAAGAATTTTTCATATTCAGTACACACACAAGTTGGCATTTTCCCCAACCCTGTGTGTGCGTGTGCGTGTACGTGTGTGTGTGTGTGTACACTACAGATGGGCCCAGGACCTTGTACACACTAACAGTGCATCCTACACTGAGCAACACCCTCTGCCTTCCTTATCACTATTGACCCCATCTTGTGAAGGGGAAGCAGGACAAAGGAAACCAAGTGACTCATCTAGGGCTGTGGTTCTCAACTGGGGGTGGTTTGATTCTTAGGACGCCATTGTTAATGTTTGAAGCTATGGTTCTGTGGCCCCTTGGGGTCTCCTCTGGGGGTCCAGGGAATTCCAGATCCTGCTCACAGGGGCTCAGGGGAAGCAGAAGGTGGTACCTAGGTCTGACGCTGACCAAAGGGCAGACCTTGGAGTCCTCATCTCATAACCTGCGCCTCAGAGCTCTGAGAGTCGGAGAGGCCATTGGGTCCCAGCCGTGCATGGGACAATGGAGAAACAAACTTCCCAAAGAAGCAGGTCACATGGTCCAAAGTCAGGGGCTGAGCCAAGGTTGGACCCCAGTTCTGTGATCTCCTAGGCCCAGCCATTCCCCACAGCCTCTTTCCCCTCCTCTCTGTGGTGACTAGAGGCATAGATAAGAAGTTCCCCTAGGGAGCAAAGGCTCATGGGATACACATGTCCCCCATTCCCAACCAACCACAGCCTCCACCCTGCACCCCATGCCCCATCATTGGGGGGGTTGATTGCACAACAAGAGTGACACTTATCCCCTAGGCTCACTAATGCAGGGGCCTCTGGAAGATATGGGGTAGCTCTGAAGGAGTGGGATGGCTGCTGGCCAAACAGGAGCCCCAGCTCACTGGCTGGGCAGCTGCCAGGGGAAAAATGTCTTCCTCCCTCAGGGACCTGGGATCAGTGCTCCAGGGAGCAAGCAGAGGAAGAGGGCCCTGGTAAAGAGCTCCTGTCCCAGGCTGGCTGGCAGGTGGGGCTGTGGACAGGCCCTCTTGGAGTGGGAGCTCACAGCGTGACAGGGAGACAAACCAGGACGCCAGCCAGAGAGAGTTTGTCTACAGAGAGGCCTTTGGGGCTGGGCTTTGGCGGTGAAGAGGTGGTGGGGGCTGGAATAGGAGGCTGAAGGAGAAAGCACCACAGGGGTCAGTGCGGGTGGAGCGCGTTGGGGCCTGGTGGGGGCAGTGGTGGCCACACAGAGGTGGGCAGCTGGGCAGGCGGGTGGTGCCGGGCCCTCAGGTGCTGGGGAGCATGTGTGGGCAGGTCTGAGAGGAGGGGTGGGCATGCGCAGCCCCTGAGTGGGGAGAGCAAGTTGGAAGATTACTCGGGATGGGAGTGGGGACGATGGGCTGGAGGCCCCGGCCTCAGAACGGGAACCAGAACTGGAGCCAGGGCAGAGGAAACGTGTGAGGACGGCCTGAACGGGGGCAAGGGCCGCGAGTGGCCGCTGAGTTCAAGTTCACTGCCACAGCAGGGGAGGTGGGGAGCCGAGGAGGCCCCTCTCTCAGGCACATGGTAGCCGAGCAGAGAATGGCTGTTTTGGGGTGCAGGGTGGAGGAGGGCTCTGTCCTCACCAAACCAGGCCTCCTGGGCAGGAGAGAGGAGCCATCATCCCTCAACATCAGGGGTCCTGCTCTGGACACCATGGATGCTGGGCTGGAGCGCTGCGGAGGAAGTGGTGATCCGCCAGTCCTTCTACCCTGGCCGAACAGAAGGTGACAAAAAGCAACAAGAGGAAGAGAGAGAAAAACAGACCATGAGGCAGAAACAACGACAGAGACAGACACACAGAGTGCAAGACAGAAGCAGGTGCAGGGACACACGGAGCAGCGGTGTGAGGAGGAGGAATAGATGGGAAGGTTGGAAACAGACAGAGAGAGACCTCCGCAGAGACACACTGGAGCTGCGAAGGGAAAGGGACACTCACAGACGGGCTTGGGACACCGCAGACTCAGGCATCCACACGTGCCCGTGATTTGGACTCAGCTCTTGCCTAAAGCAACTCAAGCTTGGCCAGAGCCGCTGCAGCTGAGCTGTTCGGGTGCTGATGCGCAGCCGCGCCTCCCTCTGTGTGGTGCTGGGCGAGCCCCTGCCTCCCTGGACGCCTCTACCCCACTGAGGCGCTCCTGCTCCAGCTCAGCTACATGAGATCTGAAGGAGATAGAATTAAATTCCAAGTCTTGTCACTTGCGCACTTACTGGGCACTTACGGTTTGTTGACCTCTGTGTCATCATTGCCTCCTAAAACTTTCTCCACAACCTTAACCAGGACTCTGAGACCCAGAGAGCTTAGGTTGCTTGCCAGAGGTCACACAGCAAAGTTTACTTAGGTCTGACTCATGGTCCATGGATTTTTTTCTTCCCACTCACCCATCCTAGGTCTGACTCCACGGCTTGAAGCGTCTCTGCCTCACTGGCTCAGAAGGAGCTTCACTTTGCCCTCCGGTATTTTTAGTCCCCACCTCAGCCCCGGGCTTGGCTGGGAAGGGAGGGAGCTCAGAGAGGTTGGGGGTTAGATGTGTGAGGCTGAGGGGCCTCCTGAGTTGCAGCCAGATCCCTCTGCACAAGCCTGGCAGCTCCTCAGGCTGCCCCTCCCTCGCTGCAATCCCCTGGCCTCTTAAGAATCTGGAGGAACAATTGCTAATCAGCTCCCGAGCTGGGGATGAATGGAGGCGCCAACACACGCCTCAATTACTGCAGCTGCTCCCCTCTCGCAAGCCCCAGGCCAGCTCCCAGTCCCTTCCCAGGTCCCAGTTGCACTCTCTCCTTCCTCCCTCTGCTTCTATCTCTCCGTCCTGATGGAGCCTCCTCCCCGGCCCCTTCCTTCGCTTTCCTCGGTCCCATTTCCCCACGGTGAGGCTCCCCAGTGCTAGTCATATCCTCATCTCATCTTCAGGACTGGACTCCTGCTGCAGGGACAGCCTTCCCCCACCTGGCGAACTCCTACCCATCTTGCAAAGCCCAGCTTCCCATGTCGCCTCCTCCACGGAGCCTCCAAGGCAAACCACCTCTTCCCAGCAAGGTTGTGGATTGGTCCCCTGCACAGTGCCCAGAACAGCCCGCGGACATGTGGGCACTCAGTCCGGCAGCATGATGGTGGGAGACCAGTGGCCATGGAGTCGTGGCTCTGATGCATAGACTGCTGAGTTATCACTCTGCTTCTCTTTCCGGTCCACTTTTGTCTGGCTGATCCCTGCTCACAGCCTACTCTCAGGCTTCTTGTCGTCCCCTCTGCCCCCTAGGAAGCACTCAGTGTCCTGGGCTCCCATAGGACAGTAATCCCAGCTGCATGATTGCCACTGCATGCCCAGCTCTTGGGGACAGATAATGAATGAATGAATGAATGAAGAGAGCCTTGAGTTCTTATCTGTAAGCTGGGTGAATGGTATCTTTCCCCAACCAGGGCAGCTGTAGCTGTGAGCAAAATTTCCTTTCTGCCAAGTCTCAGTATGCACTCTCTAACTCTGATTGTAAATGTTTATTGAAGGGAACGGAATTCCCCCAAGGCCATGCTAATGAGATTGCCTCCAGCAGAACACCTGGAGGGTTCCCTAAAGGAGCAGCTTGCCTGTGGAGTGAGGGGCAGGCCTGGGGAATCACTGAGGATTTACAGTCAGGTGCAGGCGCAGGCCCCCAGAGCTGCCTGCTGCAGAGCCTCACACTTGAGTGTGAAGAAGCAAGATCCGGGAGAAGCGGGGAGGAGAAGGGGCGGGGGAGGGGGAAGGGGGAGGAGGAAGAAGAGGAAGAGGAGGACGGCCTGGGGGCAACTCCAGCCCTGCTGGGCCAGGACAGGGGCTTGTCAGGGCCTTCTGTGTGGGGAGAGTACCCAGCTTCACCTGTCCTAGCACCAGCCCTTCTACTGGTCCCCTGTCCCCCTCAGTAGTCTGTGAGTTCCAGAAGCTCAGGCCCGGGTGCACCACCCCCACCCTCACCCACCCCACCCCCACTCCAGCGTAGCACGGCAGCAAGGTGGTTGAATGAGCAAACAGAGGAATAGTTAGGAATGTTGGAGACCAGAAGCCTGAGCAACTGAGAGAGCTAGTACGCTCATTCAGGAAGGAGGCAGGTGGAGCCTGAAGCCTGCTCCTCTGAGGGCCCCAGGGTGGCCCCTGGCTGGTCCCAAATGCTCCACACAATAAAAGTAGAGTGAGAAGCAGGAACCAGGTATTCACAACAGTCAATACAAGAACATCGATACTATCAGCAACCCACATCTGCAGGACGCTTTGTATTTTATTTGGTTTCCTCAGGTTGAGAACTCTTCAAGGCAGGTGTGGCTGTTCTCATTTAACCAAGAAGAACTAAGCTCTGGGGGAAGGGCTCTGATGGGAAGCCCAGGTCTGGGCGGCACAGAGGGGCCCCATCCAGGACCCCAACCCTGGCCCCTACCGGCTGAAGATTCCCTTCATCCTGCATTCTGCTTCCTCAGCAGCTGTGGTCTGGGGCTCAGCCTGGGGTACTGGGTTTTTTTTGGGGGGGGGGAATAGGGCCTTGCTGTGTAGTTCAGGCTGGCCTTATACTCACAGCAATCCTTCTGACTCAGCCTCCTGAGTGCTGGGATTACAGATGTGCCCCTGGCAGCAGAGGATACTCCTTGCCTCCAAGGCTCAGGCTTTCTGCTGAGTGAGTCTGTGGACTCCAGCCAGAAGCAGGGCACGTGAGGGGGTCAGGGTGGGCAAGGATGGCTGGAGATGTAACCTACTGAGACAGACTGGCTGAATTTGAACTCAGGCTTTGCTGCTAACTGGGCGAGCTCAGGAAGGCTGCATAACCAGCCAAGCCTCATGGCCCTCACCTGTCTACTGGGACAATACTGGGTCTCCCTCTGTCCTTTTCCCCAGCTGCCTTCCTTCAAGAGAGCCCCTCCTGCCCCGCCCTACCTGAGTGTGACCTTCAGGCCAGACCTGACCTTCATTTCTGGATGTCTTCCCCTGACCGCCGAAGCCCAGAGACCTGTACAAGAGCCCTAGTGTGTTGCCCATGTGCCAGGTAAGAGACAGTGGCTGTTTGCCAGGAGCTGGCTCTCAGACCAGTAGGGAAACCAACACTGAGACACACGTCAAGCGTGCTGTGAGCTCCGCTCCAGAGTTCAGGGTTGGCCTCCCTGAGGAGGGAGCTTCCGGGTAGAGACCCAGGGCACCAGAGGACTTGGCCTGGAAGAGGAAACTGCAGGGACTATGACCCAGAAGGGAAAGAAGCCAGCCTGAGTGGGGCAGGGTAGGGGTGAGGCAGGCCATCAGGGGCTGCTGTCTGCCTGACAGTACTGCTGGGGCCCACTGAGCTTGGGATCCTCGGAGCAGAAGCCATCCGAGGACAGAGAGCAGATGGTAGCTGCAGGGCCGGGGCAGCTGGGTGCGGATGCAGGTGTGTAATGCAGCCTGGCCTCACCACCTTGGCTACTATAGTCCGGGATCGGCTGAGAACTCCAGGTGCACTTTGAGGGGCCCAGATAAGAGAAGCCCTCTTCAGGCCACATGCGTGCGAGCGACTTCTGGAAACCGAGGCTGAAGCTCGGAAGAGCAGGGGGAGAGAGCTGCTGCTGCAGCAGTGTGGGCTGCGAGCAGAGGGCCAAGACAGAGTCCAAGAGGAGCCAGGCGTGTGCAGGTCTCACGACTGCCTCACCACACGATGGCCTAAGGTCTCTGTGGGTGAGGCGGGGGTAGTGCCACGGGCCTAAGCATAGACTCTGGTCACACACCTGGCTCCTTAGTCAGAGGTGCTCAGCACCGGCTCCTGTCACTTGTTGCTTGACTCAGACCCAGGTTTCCTCGCAGGAGGCCGTGGGGGAAGCTGCCTTTGCCCCTGCCACAGATTAACCTGAGAGAGACCAGTGCCAGGAAAAGGGATGTGGACGTTCAGGGAGGAGCACCCACTGGAGCATCAGGAGGGTGTGGGGAGGGAAGGTGAGTCTGGGCAGGCTCTCTGGAGGCAGCAGTGGGTGGGATCCACCAGGCAGACGTGGCTGATGGCTCCCAGAACTGAACCAGCAGACACCAGTGTGGGTGGAGGTCTTCTCTTGTCCTGAGGTTGCGTGCTTGCTGAATGAAACTGATCTGGGGCGTTAGAAGGCTCTCATGCTGCACCACTTGTCCACCTCCAAAACAGATTTGCCCCTCCCGGTGGGGTCAGAAATGAGACAAGAGCAGGGCAGTGGAGATGGGGGGGAGGCCCAGGGCCCTTTTGTCCCTGGCGTCACCCAAGCACGGGCATCCTCTTCAACCTGCACCCGTACCCTGTGGGGCCTGGCAGCTGGGCCACAGAAAGGGGCTGGCTAGAGCCCTAGCCTACAAATGCCATCACCCAGGGATCTGGCCCATGCTGGCCCCAGGAAGCCAGGGGCCGAGTATCTCTGCCTACCTGTGGGGCCCCTGCCTGAACTCCCGGTTGGAAAGGCTGTGTGTTGAAGAGGTGGTGGTGGGGGCGTAGCTGAACTTGTTCTGTCTTCTCAGACTCTGGAGCTGGATGTCCTTGAAGGGTGGTGATGCTGGAGATTAGTCCCCTGCCACCCCACTGCCCGAGAGCAGACCAACTAAGGTAGGATCGGGTCAAGGGGCAAGGTCAAGTGTGCCAGCCCCAGTCTCTGAGGATATTTCTCCCTGGAATCTTTCTTCTCATGCAGAGATGGGCCTTTACCCCGAGTCCCGGCCCTCAGGCAGGGCTCACGGGACAGTAGCCATGTATTGGGGGTTGTTTGGGGTCCACACTGGCCCTGTACTCACACACTCCCCATGCTGGCTCTCCCCCTTATGTCCCTGCAGTGCCTACACCCTGCAGGAGCTCCTCTTCGCAGTGGCTGGGGTCCCCGTACCCTGAGCCCGATCTTGCATTGGTTGGGCTCTCTGGGGAGATGGAAGAGGTGTTGCTAGGTGTTCAGTCACAAGTGCAGTGACAGCATCCAAGCCCGAGCTCTGAGCAGGCGTCAGGACTGGGGATGGTAGGCGGATCCCTAGCTGATTGAGTTGTGCTTCGGAGGCCACTGTCCCCCATCCTCCACTCTGAACTGTCTCCCTTTCCTGACTCCCTTCCACTCAGCTCCCTTCCAGGCTACCTGGCCCTATGAAAGCCCACCTGGATCTGAATCTGTATATGTGCACCCCAAACCTTCTGTGCTTGGGTCCCAACTCTGGGGTCTAACGAACTAATAAAAACAAATACATTAGTCATTTTAAAATGGGTTGTAATGGGCCTGTCCTCTAGAGAAGAATTTGACTTGGGCTGTCAAATTGAATCCTGAGCAACTTTACAGTTGAATCCTGAACAACTTTACAGATCTCATTTGACAGAAAACCGAGGCTTAGAAAGGAGAGTCCCTGGCCACAGGCATTCCTTTGAGATTTAGGTGCTGTCCAACTTCCCTATCTCCCCTTGAGACTCCTCAGGTGCACTGGTTTGTCTTCTCCTTCATCCTGTCTCTTCTGTTTATTTATTTATTTATTTTTTTTGGAGTTTTTTTTTGAGACAGGGTCTCGCTATGCAGTTCAGGCTGGCCTTGAGCTCACTGTAGCCCAGGCTAGTCTCAAACTCACAATGATTCTCCTGCCTCAGCCTCCCGAGTGCTGGGATTACAGGCGTGCGCCACCACACCCAGCTCTCCTGTCTCTTCTGAACAAGCAAATTCCTAAGGGTTTTTCAAGCAAGCCATTGCGTTAGCCCCCTTTCCCACACTTCCCACCCTACCCCAGGGCTCACTGGGAAGAGAAGAAATACAGACCAGGAAAAGCTGAAGGCAGGGACCCCAGCTGCCAGGCTGATGATCCTGTGACGTAAATGGAAATGCAGGCCGAGGTCTCCTCTGGCTTCCAGACATCTTAGACTCAACATGTCCACAACTACCAGTGTCCTCCAAACTGGAGTCTTCCGGTCCCATGTTACTAAGACACCTCCATGCATCCCTCAGTGGGGCGATCCAGCTGTGGAGTCACCTCAGCTTTCTGCCTCTAACTCACCTCCCAGACTTCTCTCGGTTGCCCCTTTCCTCTCCATCCACACTGTCCTAACCTGTGCCCAACCTCCAGAACAGCCTGGCCCGGTGCAGAGCTTTCAGGGAAAATGTCTTGAATGAATGAATGCGTAGTTCAGGCTCCTGCAGCTGCCTCCAGACCCACCCCTCCAGCCCAGCCCAGAGCGACAGGGACATTTCAGTGTAAGCCTGCCCGGCTCTGGTTCCAAGCCCTCCGGGCCCCCTATGAGCTCATGCTCCCTTCTGCTTTGCAAGGCCCCAAATAGCTTGGCCCTGCTTCTTCCGCCGCCTCCTCTCCCCACACTCACTATATATAGATGTTCCAGCCATAACACGGTTCTTGCAGGCGGCCAGCTGCACCGGGCTCATTCATACTCTGTCTTGACGCGCACTGGTCCTTCTGCCCAGAGAGCCTCCCCACACCGCTCCATCTGCCTGGTGAGTCACCCACGCTTCACCACCCTCGCCAAGAGATCCAAGCTGAGCACCTTGTATGTCTCCCTATCATCGCACTTAATGGATATGTTCGGCCTCCCAGTGGACCAGCGTGTCCCTGGGCCCCAGGACTCTTTCTTACTTATCTCCACGTGGAGCTCCCAGAACAGGTTTGGGCACAGTGGGTGGGAACGAGGGAAGCCTCTGGGTGTCAGCTGAGCCTGAGACACATGGAAGATCACGTCCAGATGCATGGGTGTGCACGGTATACACGCACCTTGACCAAAAGAAGTCATTGTGCCATTTGCTGATGTACAATGGATGGCCCTAAAACTGAGTTGCTTGAAACGGTGGCAATGTATCATTTCTCTTGATTCCAGGGGTTGACTGGGCCCTGCCAGGGAGTTCTGGCGCCATGGCGTGCTGAAGTCACTCATGGGCGGCACTCAGCTGGGAGCGCAGCTGGGGCTGAAGCCTCTCATTCTTGGGTCTTCCTCTCCACGGCTGATCATCATTCTGCATTCTGCCTGAGCGACTTCATAGCTCGGCTTCTGGCTTTCTGGAGGAGCATGCCAAGAGGGCAGGTCTTAGTGCACGAGCGCTTCCCAGGTCTTTTTTTTTTTTTTTTTTTTTTTTTTTTCATATTTACTAATGTTGCACTGGCCAAAGGGTATGGCTCACTAAGGCCATCAGGGGAACTGTTGGCTGTGTCTCTGTACCCTGGTCCTGAGTACAGTTTAGCTCCCTCCCTGCCTGCCAAAGTTATTCTAAAGAACTTTGGGTGGGCATTGATCTACTCTGGTCCAGGTGGGGCTTGTCTCAGTCATCAAGGCTGGCCTTGAAGGTGGGATAGGAGGGAGACATCCACACCTGATCTCTCTGTGTTGGACACGACCCTCACCCCTCTGAAGGCTGGGTCTTAGGAAGGGTCCCCTCTCATGGGACAGCTATCACCAGAGACGGGGCAGTGGAAGAGGGAATGGTGTTCTTTGTTTTCTACCAACAAAGAGGAATCAGGGAACCGGCCCAATCTTTGTTGATTGGAGAGGGCAGGTGAGAAGAATCTTTCCTCCCACTGAAAAAATCTTTTCTCCCATCTGTCCTTTTCTCATTTCACTTTCTCTTCCCATTTCTGACACAGGAACTTGGGCTAAATGAGTCCCGTCAACCTCCCACGTCTGCTCGTTCTCCTTTTCCTCATCTCGCTTCTTCCTGTGAGGGGGATGGAGCCTAGAGCCTCACACGTGCTAAGCATGCACTTTGCCCCTGAGCTACACGCCAGCTCCCCACGTTTATTTGTCATCACCCTTTGGCAGCTGGGTGACACTGTGAGGCTGTGTCTATTACACGTGCCTACCATGTGGCAGGCGTGCACTGGCTGCTCGACCTGCCCTCCATCTGAGTCTCACGCTACTGCCTTCTCACAGTTGGTCCTGCACCCAGCATGAACAGGGCCCTGGGTTTGATCCCCAGCTATGAAAACACCAAAACGAACAAACATACAAACAGAAAACACACAAAAGCTCCTGTGTGATTCACCGTGTTCCCATTGCTGCCACCTAAGGCGGCTGGTCATGTTGAATGGAGTCTCTGTTAGCTGTGACCAGGAGGGAGTCTCTGTTTTGGATTTGAAGTGTGACTGAGAAACAGACTTCTGTTAGGACCCTGAAATTTGAGGGTGTTTGTCACTGTAACACATCGCAGCTTGTCCTGACTGAAACGCTCATCAGGTTCAACAGAAGAGACGATCGGGCTGCTGGACCACTCGTCTGATCCTCAGCACCAGCCTTTCTGGAGAATGGCAAGATAGTCTTCAAACTATTTGAAAATCCATTCGGTAAATTCCAGTAGAGGCCAATATGGATCTTAGTGACTAACTGGTTGTGGCAGGGTACGGTGAATAAAGGGAGCAGGTGTCCAAAAATAGAAGGAGATCCTCTCCTTCAGTTCACCCTTTATCCAGGCATGGTGGTGCACGCCTGTAACCCCAGCACTTTGGAGGCTGAGGCAGGAGGATTGTTGCAAGTTCAAGACCAGCCTGGGCTACAAAGTGAGCTCAAATCCAGCCTGAACTGCTTAGTGAGACCCTGTCTCAAAAAGACCAAAAAAAAAAAGAAAAGAAGAAAAAAAAAAAGAAATCAGTTCACCCCTTAAACCAACAAGGAAAAGGACTTCTCAGGTTGGGCCACTTGGGAACACTTGGGATTTATTTTTCTTTGTTTATTTTCTTAAACTTGCTTTTCAAAGTTAGGCTAAAATGGAGTGCTCAGTGCTTTTCTTCCTTCTTTTTTCCCTGGAACAACTCTGCCGATACATTTCAACAGCCCCTGCTTCTTGACCTGGGTGAGGCGTCTCTTGATTGCCTACAGATGATTGCTTTGTAAAATATTTTTAAACCCTGACAGCTCTCCAAGAGAGAAACCAGTTGTTAGGAGAGTGCAGTGGCTTTCAATTTCTCTTGACCTTTTCGGAAAAGTAATTTGAAATTTGGTGTTTATTCTCTGCCTTCCCGGAGTGCTTGCGGAATCCAAGGTGGTTTCATGTTGTCGGTTATTTTATTTCCAGTTTGCTGCTTCACATGCCTGGGTGTTATCCTGTTACGTGTAAGTGGAGTATCACCCACCTTCTCTTTTCCTGGGTGCTGGCACTCGAGCGCAGAGAGAGAGGCAGGACGTCCTTCCCCAGGGCCCAGTGCTGGTGCCACAAGTATACGCACTGCACGGAGCCCGGCTGAGACCAGTATTTCCACATCTGGTTCTTCACTGATGTGTAAAATGCCATATCCAGCCAGGCATGGTGGTACAATTCCAGCACTCAGGAGGCTGAGGTAGGAGGATCCAGGCCAGCCTGGGCTACATAGCAAGATCCTGTCTCAAAAAAACAAAACAAAACAGTCACAGCCGAATGACTTCTTAAGGGTATCTGGGTCAAACTCCTCACTCGCCATAAAGGTAATAGAAGGCCAGTGTGTACAGGGCCAGGGCAGTGAGTTAGGACGGAGTCAATACGGGATGGCAGCATGATAGAATCGTGGGGTGGAAAAGGACACAGACGTTGCATCGGACAGACTGAAACTTGAACTTTAACTCTGCCATTTACTCACTGTGTGACTTTGCACAAAAGCCTATGTTGCCTCAGC